TATATATACGATCATGTGTAATACAAGGATAAAGATAAATAAGATTTTCTAAACTACTCTGAATAAAAAACTGTATGAATAGAAGATTTAGAATTAAGCACCAAAAATTTGAACTGAAAACCAATATAACTCAAGCACAATACGCTCTCTATGTGTCTCACTTATTCTTTCTGAATATTTCCATTTCTACCATGAAAAAAAATTTTTTTCTGAATGCTAGATAAGGTGAAGATTAAAATAGTTGTATCTCTTTTACTAATTGCTTATTAGTGAAATAAAAGCAATAAAGCAATACTTTGTAGGGTTGCTCGCCAGTGTGCGTACGAAGATGTCGCGTTAAATTTGCGCTGCGAGGAAAAACCTTGGCGCAAAACTTGCAAGTATAACGATCACGTGGGTTTTTCAGGAGTAAGGGAGTTGTAGACGTTGAGTTATGTGAAGGATACGTGCGTGTGTAAGGATTGAGATGAGTAGCTGCTGCGGCTGCTGCGGCGGCTGCTGCTGCCGCACTTGCAGCCGTGGGAACAATGGGATAAGTGAAGGGTCGACGAAGCATTTGCATAAAAGCAGTGGATGAAAAAGGATTCACTGCTGGAGTCAAGTCCACTTTATCTGAGTTCGTGAGAAGCAGTGATGATTCTGTAGATGCTACCAAGTTTTCTTGCTCCAATCTGTTATTTTCATGCATGCTTTCTGAATTCTGTAGTATTCTTTCTTCTTCATTACATCTATTTTTTTCACCATTCATATCATTCAGTTCATCACGGTCCCCAATTTTTCCATTGAATTTAACTGTTGAAGTTGCTGTTCGTGTATTCACCACTTCAGTTGAAGTTGCAGCAGCACTAGGCCCTGTTGCTTTCATCGACAAATCCAAAGGAGTCAATTCAAAATCACCAAGTGAGCCATTGTGATTTGAACTACTTGCGCAACACTTTTGCTCATTTGGTGCTGCATCCGATAATTGCTCACTGAAAATGGTAGTCAAAATCCAGCTTACAATTAAAATTACTTGTAACGAATATTTAATTTGTTTCGTTATTGCTTCAAATTTCATTCAATCCTTAAAATTTTCAAGCAAAATATTTCAAAATATTTATGCACGATTCATATAGCAGATAGTTCAACTATATCTAGAAACGATTACTTTTAAAAACTGAAATATTTTTAGCCGCTACAATTTCGTAAATAAAATATAAAACTAAGAGCTTGAACTTTCGACTAATTTAAACTCAAACAAAAAGGGAGGTGAACCTGCTTCCAGGTGAGCTTTCACCATCTGATCCATTAAAGACATGATAGCTGCCTTTCCCCGACAAGTGAATATTAGTAATATTAGGAGTAGGTAATGATAATGTTTGGGCATGTTGCTGCTGTTGTTGATTGGATGCAAGCTGCAACAATCGAGACCAATAATGTGATGGTACTGTGAGTAGTGGAGGCTGTGTTGCTAAAAAGAATTGCACTTTCAGCTTTGACATATCTATTAGGAAATTCCAATTTCAAGATTTAGAAGATTTTTGATGCCAGTAAGGAATTACTGAACTTTTTTCACCAGAAGTTTAAAAATTTATGGACAAGCTAACATGTATAAAATTAAATAAAATCTGTTAGAAAAATTAAGCCATAAGATTGGTCTCAAATGGTCGTATAATATTTTATTTCGAATTGATTTAGAAATTGGTCTAGTTCTGGTAGTATGCAATGAGAAAATAGTTTTGAATTAGCTATAAGACTGCTTTGATATTTCAAGTAAATATCACTAGATTTTACTCAAGATTAACTGTAATTTTTGGAACAACTATGATAGAGTTTGTGGACAAAAAGTAGCAAAGTAGTAAACTTACTTATGGGTTTATAAAAAGCGCTGAGAGCAGTCATTTGTGATTTGCATGTGGAGCTGTGCCTGACGAGTGCAGACTGACTAGTTAACGATACACTACAATACTGACATTGCCATCCTTCCTGAAATTGTAGGTAAGCCTTTGATTTTTATTTTTTACGCATCTATACTAAGCATATTCTGCCAAGTAAATATTGTTTAAATACAGATTAAATTCCGAAACATTCAGGAAAATAGAAAATAAAATACCTTGAATACAAAGCAGAAACAAAATAAATTGCTTTCAAAGAATTGTTAAATTTTATATGTTTAAAGGAAGGTTAGTTGACTTGAAATCTGCAAAAATGCTTGCCTTTTCATTAATATTAAAATTTATTTATCTTTTCACAAAAGCAGTAAAAAGGATAAAAAAGGAAAGTGATAGTTGTATGAAAGTTCTTTTTAAAAGCCATCTTAATATCTTCGTTTAGAATTTCATTTTCAGTGAAATTTGACATGTGCATTACTTCTTTCAAATTCATGTCAGTATACAAATATTTGTTTTTTGATAATATACAAGTGATCATTGTATTAAATAAAAATAAACTAAAGAATGATTTCAAAGTGAAAAAAATTACAATACTTTTGGACAAATATACTCATTTAGTTTTTGTTTTGGAAAAAATTTTTCCAAGTAATTCATGCTTCATCAACATTTCGTAAAGTTATATCTCTTGAGTTTCAGTTGTATGTATTGAAATTCATCATCAGAATTAAATCAAGAATAACTAAAGCAGAACAAACTTGACTGAACTTAAAGATTGAACTTCGAGATTTTCTAATAAAATGATGTGAATAAAGAGATGTCAATTTCAGATAAAAAAGTGCAACTTACCAAGTGTATTCTTCTATGGCGACAAAGATTTGAAAACTGCGTGTATGCTTTATCACAAACGTGGCATCGAAATGGCTTTGAACTACAGTGAATATGACTGTGTTGTTTAAGACCACTGAATAAAAACGACTAAATTGAGTCGGAAATTTACAGATTCAAAGAAAATTATATTAGAAAGTATAATCGCACATTCATTCTAAAAAAAAATAAGTAATTAAGTTCAAGCATTTGTAGCTAATGTGTAACTCTCGGAATAGTTGCAATCTCTTGGTTCAACTGTGACAACAGTGATGGCAATCTTTCAAAAAACAAAAGTTAGAGCTTATTTCAGCATTTGTTTGCATGCTGCCTTTAGCTTAGGCTGAAATTTGCTATTTGGTAATAATAATCTACGTAAAAGTTGATAGCAAATGAAACACTTTAAATGAGCTACAGTAGTCATTAGATAGCAGTGATGCAAAGAGAGGGTGACCACATTGCGTAAGCTGAGTAACAACAAGTCATCATCCAATGACATGACAGCATGCATGCAACGCTGTAACTTCATCCGCCATTGATGTGATGGGACGTGATTGATGTGTGAAGCACCACCTTTTAAGATTAAAAGAAGTAAAATGGTTAATTTATTATTGATTGAGCAAAGTAAATGGAAGTTTCGTCATGCTTCGCTATCTCTGCTAAATTGTCTTTTCAACGTACCCGAATCTTTTCTTCAACTTTTTACCGCATTCATCAGAAATAATCCCGCAACATACAATTTCATATTGATAGCATCATAAAAGAAATCTAAGTTTTCAACTTATTTGTAAGACACAAATTGAAAGGTCAAAAAGTAATCAGCATGCGTGAGAATATTCAATTTTTCGAAAACTTTACATATATATATATATAT